TATATATATATTAATTTAAGAACATTAATATAAAAATAAATACAATAACATTTAAAAAATGCTTTTTAACTATTTTTGATATTTTTAAAATCTGTTTTTTTTTTGCTAAAAACTAAATCTGTCAAAAATAATTTTAAAAATGTCAATCAAATAAAACTATTCCCTATGCAATGCTGAGTAGTATATTCAAATTCGAACAATATTTCCAAATGTAGTATACTAGATCTTTTGAGTCTCGTTACCTCACTATGCTGCACATTTAAAGGTCCCATATTGTATGTATATACATTGTTGTGATTAATTGTGGCTGGAACAATAATGTAGCTGTAAAAATAGTTGTCTGCTGAAATTGAAATGTATATACATCTTCATCATGACTAGATAGACACGGTGAGTTTGTCTTTACTATGCACGTTAGATGTGATCCACCTCATAGTAACAATCCTGTCAGATCGTCCATCCTTTGAGTGAGAGTATAACCTTACAGGTCGGCTGATCTGGTTTCATGGTTAAAGTTAAAAGCTAAAATCATCATGATGTTACTTCTTGTTCATTCTTGACATTACAAAGTGATAGGTCATGCTGAGCACACTGCACTGTGGGATACAGTACACAGTAAGGTCTGCTAATATAGTGCACATATAGCATGTGATGGGTATTGCATTGATACTCTACACACACACACCGGATTGACTGTTTTGAAACTTATATGGTAGTTAAATAGCCCCTAGACCTCAGTTATCATGAAAAAAGCCAGGAAATTTCAGTTTTGACAATATGGGATTGGGAATATTTAATTCAGCAAGTGGTGTCAACTCATTTTAATCCAATTTTGTGCCAAAAAAAATCTTAAACTTCAGCAGTTGAGTCAAGAAAGAGAAGCTAAAATCATCATGATGTTACTTCTTGTTCATTCTTGACATTACAAAGTGATAGGTCATGCTGAGCACACTGCACTGTGGGATACAGTACACAGTAAGGTCTGCTAATATAGTGCACATATAGCATGTGATGGGTATTGCATTGATACTCTACACACACACACCACAGAAACCGTGAGTTACAGCAGTGGACGGGTGTGTTTGCTGACCTTGGGCGTCATGTTGTGAGTGATGCAGAACTGCAGATGAGTTATGATGCTCTCCATGCTGTGGTAGGGCTGCTGGCGCGTCGTGCGCAGGTACTTCTGCATGGCTCGTGCCATGGGGGCGAAGATGGCCTGGGCCGCCTCTCGAGGGTCCATCACCTCACGCGGGTGCTTGGGCGACGTCGCCGCCTCGTCGTCCTGGAGCCTCTTGATGTGAGTGAACGCCTCCTCTACTGCCACCACCAGTCTGGGAGGAGAAAACACAACAGAATATAAGAGTCAGGGACATCAGATGAACTTCATGGAAACATGTGCAGGTCACAATTCACTCCC